TTGCAGCACCCAAAGGTGCACAAAGCCAAGAGATGCAACAGGTAGGAAACTGTGTGGCATTTTACTTGCCATTGGTAAAGATAAGCAAGGACAATTGTCATAGTTACAGCAAGACAAGCGAGGATTTACAGTCAAAGAGCAGAGTGCAGGGCGGTGGTGGGGTGGGGTGGAGGCGGGCATTGGATGGAAAATTACTAAGAGGCAACGTCAAGGGAAGGGTGACATTCTGGTAAAACTGATGTGACAGGATTCTTGCTGAAGGCAGGCCAGGGTGATCGAATGTCATCTGGAGGATGGTGGAGGATGATGAATTTGATTAGATGTCAAGAGTGGAGGATTCTTGCTAAGACTGCAAGGAACAGTTTTGTGATGCAAAGATGAATACAGGAGCTCAAAGGTCAAGTCCTGGTTAAGTAGAGGGTTCAGAGGAATCTGACTAAAGTGAGGTCAAGGAGAGATTATTTGTCACCCTAGCTATTCCCTATCCCTAGCACATTGTGGTATAATTGGGAGAAAATTTCCAATCCTCTTCTCCCTCAAGAGAGAAAAAGAGAAAGGAACCAACCATGAGTCCAGTGCGCAGGCCTTTTGACAGTCTGCCTAAGGAGCAGATTTCTCTCTCTCCTGACTTGCAGTGCGGATGGGAACAGCGGGTTAAATGCCAGGCTGGGATCACTGAGATCAAAGGTGAGCGCCACAGCTTCACAATAAGACTGTAGTACCACAGACAGACACCAAGGGGAGCAAGAGATTATGGGCTGCAGAAAAGAGGCAAGTAAACCTTTAATTGAGGAATTATAGACACAGCCCAGAGAAGACCTATTGCCAAAAAAAAGTTGGAAAAAGCCCTAGAATCTCTAGCTGGTTGACTGGTGAAGGTCTTACCCTGTATAAAGCCAGCCTGAAATGCCCAAAGCTTACAAAAAGATTGCAAGGCATACAAAGCAGAGAAACATGGCTCAAAGAAACAAAATAAATCTCTAGAAACCGACCCTAAAGATATGGAGATCTGTTAATTACCTGACAAATAATCCAAAATAATCATCTTAAAGATGCTCAATGAGCTAAAAGAGACCATACCCCACAAAACAAAATCAGGAAAACAATGCATGTACAAAATGAGGATATCAACAAAGAGACAGAAACTATAGAAAAGAACCAAATGAAAATTCTGGAGCTGAAGAATATAATAACTGAATGGAAGAATTCACTGGAGGGTTCATACTTGACCAAAGAGAAGAGTCAGTAACTTTGAAAACAGTTCATTTGAAATTATTGAGTCAGAGGGAAAATAAATGAAGAAAAATGAAGGGAACTTAAGGAGCTTATGGGACACCATCAAATGAAACAACATATGGATTATGGAAATCCCAAACATAGAAGAGAGAAAGGGTTGAGATCCTGCCTGAAGAAATAATGAGCCTGTATTAGTCCGTTTTCATGCTGCTGATAAAGACATACCTGAGGCTGGGCAGTTTACAAAAGAAAGAGGTTTATTGGACTCACAATTCCACGGGGCTGGGGAGATCTCACAATCATGG